AGGAACCAGAAAGTCAAACTAAGGGTCAGCAGCCAGAGATAGGAATCAGTATCAGCCCAGGAATCACAAGCTGAAATCAGAAACCCACAAGAAGAAATTACAATTGCAGGGCACAATGCAGAGGTGGATCCGAGAATGTACAGTACAACGTGCAAACAGTTGAACTGGGGTTCCACCTCAGGGAGCTGCTTCTGAGTCACTGCCTGACATGCTCTGGCTACCCCCTTAAAATCAGGTCCAAACTGCAAAGAACCTGATTTATTACTACAGAAGAAGGTCTTATCCTGAATTAGCAATGCAGAGGATAATTTGAAGATAAGGCAGTTGGTATATCTGTGTGAACAGTACATATAGTACATACAGTATTTGCTTTAATCATGCTGCAAATGGGACAGCCATCTGCCAGCCCAGTGCTGGTCTGCATTGGCCACTGGCATGGTTACTAGCAGAGAGAATTCCCCTCATTTCTCACAAACCCAACAGCCAGCTATAGTAGACATATTTTTGCAGAGGGTGACTGCGTATAAAATTCTCCATTTCTACACCACAACTGCAATTAGTCTTACAATAGATTCTGGGTTAAACGTTCTTTATGCTTGTGATTTTGAAAAGACATATTGACCTGAGAGTGAGGGAGAAAGCTTAAAAACATCTTGGCACAAGAAAGATTAATATTCACATACATTACACATATCTACAAGAATATCCAAATGAGTAGTAAAACAAGTGCCAGTAGAAAACTATCTCGTTGCATCAAGATAATTGCAGCTGCAGAAAAAAATTTCCATTAAAAGTATGGCAAATAAACCAGACTTCTGCCCTTCCAAACTGTCTGGGTGTTGAGAGAGATCGAAACCCTTCTCAGTATCATACCTGTTAGGCAGATTAATAATAGGAGACTACCATTTCTGATGCTGACACTGCCAGCTCGAGATGCATTACATCCACATGCCACTTTTAAATTCAGTACTAGCATGCAACTCCCAAATCTGTTAAAAGCAGGAATGAATTAAAACATCACTATGAGAAGAAGGGTAGAATGGGCCATGAACTTCTCCCTGTTCACACATAGATCTGCTCAAGCAAGTTTTGGAGCCACTGCTTTGAAAGTGTTGCACATCCCTTGACTGGAGTGTTCTCCACTACTACAGCAGTGCAGCTCCTTATAACAGTTCTCATTAAACTTTTCCAAATGGCTAAATCTAGCTTAGGTATGTAAGATATCCTAGACATATAAGAATTTAAATATGCAAATATTGTGCAGTGGGTCAGACCACCAGCATCTTTCTTAGAAAAAAATCATGTTGAGGATTTTGCTATGACCTCACCCTAGTTTTCTACATGAAAGAAAAATATTGTCTGACTTCCTTCGTAGCATATTCTACATCTTATTGACAAATCACTTATGACACTAATTTATTAGCATAAAAATATTACTACACTCAAGACAGCCTGCTTTGATTTACTACATCAGGGTTTTTCATATGCCAAGGTCCTATCATCTCAGCTTGATCATTAGAAGACCCTTGGTTTTTTTGCTTCTTTTATTTTTCTGCACAACAGAAGAGTTTTGCCCTGTTGCCTTGGCTAAAATCCTGAATATTGGAATGGCTTTGCAGCTCAAAGGCAGATTCACTAAGCTGGTCCTCAGGAAATACAGGATGGTGGGTTTTTTTTAGAACCATCTTCTTCGCATTAGATCTTAGCCATTAAAGTCAATGTCAAAGTAGGGAAAAAGGGGGCTATATAAATACAGAAAAGTAAAAACTAATGACAATTAGAGGCAAGATGCTTAAATTGCAGTATTGTTTTTATCTTCCTTATGTGAAAACTACCTTTATTACATGTAAAGGAAGGAATGGAACTAAATACATGCATCTCTTTTTTTCATTTTGGTAATATTTCGGGGGTTGATATCTGCTTAATTTTGTGAAAACGTCAACACTGCATTATAGAAGCTGGACCCTTTGACTGTACCCAGAGTCACTTGCTGAATTCCACAGAAGACAGAGACATGAAGAAACGTAGGAATTAAAGTCTTTTTGCCACATTGTTTTATTACAAGGAAGATTCTAGCTTATTTTGTAAGGTGGTGGTCCAGGTTTTTTTCTCTCTCTCACTTTGTTTCCCTAGGGCAGCCATGCACAACCAGTGACTGGCTACTGGTACCAGTCAAAGTAAGCAAGCCCTGCATCATTAATACTCCAGAGTACTGGAGTCCATTCAGAAAACTGAGACTACAATGAAAACTTACACTTTATCATTCGCATAAATTGATTTGTTATTTTGAAAAAGAAAGCAAAGTTTCATTGACCTAAAGCTTGTGGCTCAGAAGAAAACCATAAAAAATCTTTTCGCTTATATTCAATTCAAGGATCTTTATCTGATAAAATTAATAAATACATCTTAACATGTAACTGAAGATAACCAATTATTTTATCTTGTCTCTACTTCTTCAGCCAATAATAATTGAAACCACATAAGCCAAAACAATTTCACTGTCATTTAAAAATGAGCTATCTAAATGAGAGAGGAATAAAAAATTCAGTCACATTTTTAAACCTTTCATGCGTGATTCTCAGAGATTTTTATATACATGTTTCAGCAAAAGCTATTTTAATTGTAGCAATAATTTGAACACCTGTTCAATGTGAACTTACCAGTCTCTCAGCCAGACCAGATCATGCTATATGTATTTCCAAAGAGTATGTTCTTTTTATGTCTGTAAAGTAAACAATTCATTTGCTTACGAGGAGGCAAGTTTGCTTATTAACACAGGAAATAAAAGCATGCCGATGTTATATATTCAGCATGAAATATAGCACAACATTTTTAAATATGAATAATATGTCAAAATAGTATATAGGTCCAAGTTCAATTTATATAAATAAGCAAAAGCTTACTGGTGATCATTTAAGTTGCACTAATGGAACATGCCCTACACATGCAGGCACACACCTTAAAAGCTGTGAGAAGTATACTTGCTCCATTTGATCTTCACACCACCCACCAGCACGGCTGATAATGTGCTGAAATACCCTAATGTTTTTCCTTCCTTCTTCCTCTCCAGCAGACAGGAAAGCACAGTATATATTCAGCTGCTTCTAACTCTCATTTGGAAACAAATCTTTAATAGGAACTTTGTACACGTATATATCAAAAAGTCAGCACATCTCATTGTCACGTATGCCACACATTAGAAAGCTTGCTCTGTCCTAGGATTGCTGAGATACTTGGCAAGACAGATGGCCAGTCTCCCTGTCTCCCTGATGGCGTCTGCACTGCTGCAGACTTGTCATGTAATTCATTGAGTTGAACTTAGCACATAAATTTTCAGTTATGACTAAAAAATTGGAAAATTCTCCACAGATGAAAACCACGTCCGTACTGTTAGTCAAGCAGGGAGCACTTCGGGGAACAAGAGCAGGAACAGAGGATCAATCCCAGAGTGTGAGTGTGACATACAGAAAAGAAGAATAAGCTAAAAGAAACACTGTCAAGAAACAAATTCTGTGTTAACTCTTGAAGATCTATGTCCATTCATTTTCCAGTCAAGGTATCATTCAATATTTAAATCACTACCACTTTAGGTGACAGTTTATTGAGGTGTTTTTGATAACTGAGATCCCAAAAGCTTCTACCACAGTCTGAACTCTGAATTGAAAACCAGTATTTCCGTAAGAAACCACAGAGCTCCATCCTTATTTATGGCAAACCAGAGTGCAGATGCAGACAACAGACAAAACCATGCAGAACCTTCCACTTAAAGCAGAAGCAATACAAATCTGTGTTTTCATATGAAATCTTGTGTCAGACAGAAAGACCAAAGAAACAAGGTGCTTTCATAATACAGACTTAAACCTTTCACCAATATTATGCCATAATTAATAGGTTGTCAACAAATTTGATGATTTTACTGAGTTTTTTCTTAGAAAAGCAGACTTTCAAACATTTTACGTAAGGTGGGGCATGCTATAGGACTGAAGTGCAAAAACCTGAGGTTCTTGCCAGTGAAAGATTTAACCTGGATGGATGGAAAGAAAAAGCATTACTGCTTGACCAACTCTTCTGAAGAAGTTTTTCAGTGCCCTTACATAGCAAATGTATGTATACATATAAAAATAACTTCATTTTAATTTGCCCTTTCCTTCTAATTTTGTGTCATGTGCCACTACTTGAAGTTGTGCTAGTTTCGGTATTACCGACATATAAAGTAATGAGCTATCCAGATATCTCTTCTGCTTTTAATATTTACCTTGTATACAATTTTGTTTTATTTGAAATATGATTTTTAAGATTAAATCATACAACTAAAAGTCTTAGTGCACAAACAGTTCTACTAACAGGTCTACTAAATATGATGCAAAATAATAGATAACTTGTTTTACAGAGCATTGTGAGTATCTGTGCATCTTATTGATGTAACCCAGTATGCATTAGGAAGAAAGAAAGAGTGGTGGAGAATTTGCTAGGAGAATAAATCTGTGAAACTTTAGCTGCAGACAAGCCCTCTTACTCTGCTTCTCCAGTGTGAACAAGGCTTAATGCAAAAGACATGCAGGAAAAAATAAAATCTGAAGTGGAGAGTAGAACAAACAAACAAATCAGAAACAAATGAAAACCCAGCCCAAGGACAGCTGGAACAAGCCTATTTCAGATTATTCTAGTTTTTTTCTTCCAGTATTCTTACCAAAAGAAGTTCCTCTATACTTTCGTATGACATCTGAATTTGAATGAGAAGAGAGAAGCTAGATGGAAGGAGGCCTTACCTGAAAGGGTACAAAAACGGGAGCTGGAGGTTGTGTGAACTGAGAAGAAAACAATTCACAGGCACAGATTCTTAGTGGAAGAATATTAGTTTCAAGATAAAAATTCTTGCAAATAATATCTGCATGTGCACACCCTTTTCCTGACACTTTTTTTTTCTTTCCGAGGGGGCAGATGGCAGAGTACTGTTCTAAGGGCCTCAGCCCATCAAATAAACTCTGATTTTTACTTACCTGTTAGGTCTCTCTCAGTGCTAGGATCCCAGTAGGTCTGCAGCCAAGTAGTATCAGCACAGCCCTAGTGCAGGATCTGGTTCTTTGGTCAAGTAGGCATCAGGTGGGATGATTCTCAAGCTATCAGCTGAAAAAGAAAATAAGTAATTTTAAACAAAAGCAGATACACCCAGATGAAAAGGGAAAGGGAAAATGGAAAGGAAAAGGATTGACCTGCAAGTAATTTTTCAGTTTATTGTATTTCTAACTGAAGCCAAGTGACAGACTGTCATGAGAACAGGGGGAGGGGAAGGCAAGAAAGAGAGGTACGGATATTCACTTATCTACTTCAGCAGAGCCAACAATCAGAATAGCTGCTACCTTGCAAACCTGGTCCAAGTTCCTCTTTTGCTTCATTTGGACTATGTGCCTGAACTTCAGCCTGCTACCTTAACCCATGCAACCTTACTAACCTTAAGGCTGTAGGAACTGTTCTCCTTCCTCCAATTGTACCTTCCCCTACAAATATATTGATGTATGGTCAATGCCAAGAGAAAGGAATTAAAGAAGCCCACTTCACACAGTAGGTAATATCTTTACAGGGGCATCTTTTTGGGTAAGGCAAGCCAAGGCTCAGACCTGTAGTTACTGCCCAGCAGAGTTGTATCATCTGAAGGACTTCTGTCAGTACAGTAAGCAATGTACATGCTTTACACCTGTTAATTTCATCATCTTCTCCTCACCCATTTATATGTTTTCAGCATCTTACAGTGCTGGGGAGAGAAGTGGCACTAGTCAGAGTTTCTTAGGTAACAAAGATTTGAAGCTCAAGTGTAATGCGTCTAGCAGAGATGCCCCAGCCTCAGGAGGAGCTTCAGCAGAGGGAGCAACAGAAATTGTTACTCACAGGTGCTGCTATGTCAGGGATTTGCATCAGTGCAGACCAAATTAAATAATTATGTATATGCACTGCCAGTGTCAGTGCTTAACTGCTAATCTCAATGACTTGATCTGTTCACTACAGTGACACGGAAACACCAAATAGAAAAAACTCCAGATATTCCTGAGTTTCCAAAGTCCAGGACAGGAATGGAACATTACAAGGTGCACGTCCTGTTATTTCTCCTTCCTCATGTCCTCCCAGGAAGGGCTCAGCCATTATAACACATTATTTTGGATCTTTGGACTTTGGCTGGACCTTTTTTTCTTCCTTTTTTTTTTTCTTCTGAGCACTAAGTAGGTCATGTGCCTATCTGAACCTGTATACACCACCGTCTGATGTATTCACTGAGGGGTCTTTGTTAGCTTCTCAAGTACACTCAAAAGTGGAAGGTAAGGCCTGTGGTAATAACCAAAGCATAGGACTGACCCATCAGAGAAAGGTTTCTGTTTGGTGGACTCAGGGATGTTTGCAGGAAAGAAAAAAATCATCATATATAAACACACAAATCTCTTGGTTCAGTACTCATATTTTTGGCTACTAGAGTCTTTTCTTGCATCCTGTTTTCGGTTGTGGCTCTCAATGATTAAATTTATGGAACCCAAGGAAAAAGAAGCTGTAACACAAAAGGACCTTTGATGTCTGAGAAAGTTTTCTGCATACCCATGTTTCTTTCAGTGAAATGAGATGCCGGCAGTCTACCCAGACCTGTGGGCACTGAGCATTGATGACTCGGTTTACCACCCATGGTTTACCATCCTTTCCTTGAGAAAGGATGTGGCAACAGATAGGAAACTTTTCTCTGTCTGTAATACAGCTACAGCATTGCCCAAAATATAAATTCCTCCAAGGGTGTTTATACCAGCCTTTGCTCTCAGCCATCGGTCAGGGTCTGTGCTTGGGTACAGCAGCCTTTGATATGACCACAGCTAATCAAAAAAGCTGCACGGGTGGGGTTTGCAACAAGAAAGTTGGGGTTAGCTTGGTAAAAAGGCTTTGAAGGAGGAAAAAAAGGAGGATTTGAAAGGATATCCAGGCGTACTAAGTTCTCTTCACCCTCACAGTGTGGAACCCCATTATTGTCACACAAAGGAAACACATGGACTAGTTTTGTTCATCTTTTTTTTCTTAAAAGAATAATTCAGTTTAATCTCTTTTTATATCTAGAATTAGTTCTTTTACATAATTTTTCCTCATTTAAATAAATCGCAGGAGGAAGGAGAATGCAAACAGGCAGTATTTCCTGCATACATTATTTTACTAGTCAGTGCCTTCCTTCAGTGCGGTTTGGTTAGGTTGCTCTATTATTCAGCACGTTATTTCTGAACAATTCAGTGGCTCCTTCCAAAATGTTCCTTCTTTAATGAAAGGACGCATCTGACACACCAGAACAGAGAACGGGAAGTTTTTGTTGTTTGTACTGGTAATCTTAAGCCAACTATTGCTTATCCCAACTGCGTCAGATAGCACAGCAGACAGCCGGCAAGCCTTCCGACACTGAACTCTGAACTTCGGCCAGACCTTGCCCTGGTCAGCTCTGTGACAGGAAAGCAGGCAGACTTTGAACCTGGGGCTCTGGGGCTGCTGCAGGGTTATGAGCAGAGAAACAGCTGCACTTTGCAACATGAACTTTGTACTTAGACACATGCACATTTAATCTCTATAACAGAGACTTTGTTTCATTACTAGTTAACATCTCCTCCTTGAGTAAAGGTCTTTGTTAATGAAGCTTTAAAGCATGGTGTGAGGGGATTTTTCCACCTTCCTCTACCAAAAAATTAAAACCCACCACATGATTTGATGGGATTATATTAACTATTTAAAAGCTTAAGAAAAGCCCAACAAAACCAAAGTTAGACTTAATGCACCTTCTGAATACTGCAGGTAGTTGTCATGTACTCTCTTCTGAGCAACTCAGTTGTAATAACCGGAGCTGATTTCAGAAATCAGGCAATATTCTGAAGCCTATCTTTGCAGAATTCACTTCTTGAGGTGGTACCCACAATAACTCAGCTGGCGGCAAAATTCAACCTTATTCAACAAATCAAATCAATAAAATAGTAGGAAAGTGTCAGCCCACTCACAATAAAAAGCCATACTTTACAAAACTGTCATGGGATGTTTTGAAATTGTACGGCTTTTTGCTACTGCTTTTACTTTGGAGAAGTGTCAATGCTTGGCATCTGCGTATTTCACTATAAAATATGCACATAGCACAGCAAATTCGTAGAGGTGTTCAAGCCCTGGATGTATTTGTGCACTATCTGTTTCTTAGACCTCACTAAAATAAGACTTTGATCTGGAACAGAAGCCTGCCTAAACAAGGACCAAATGTAAACCTCAAGAGAAGTTTTTATTCTCCTCAGGAGAAGAGCTACATAAAATGCTTAAATCATTTCTGTACCAGAAGTTAAAGCTGAAGATGCACATATGCATTTACTGTAACACAGCCTAGTAACAGAAAGGTACTGCAAGATCCTGTTATTGTCCCATTGTGTCCTAGTTGTCATAATAGTATGGAGTGGCAAAGAAGATTAAGAAAGTACACGTTTCCTGAGCAATTCTTTTATACAACTAGGATAAAACAAATACTTGGAAGTATATTTTCTTCTTCAGATACCGCAGGTGTTTGTCACAGTCTGTTTGGAAGAAATTATCCAGAGACAGAGGGATCACAGTGACACTTTTCCTATTTTCCATCACTACCATCTTTTCAACATGAATTTCTTTCCATGCCTCTGTGGTCAGCTTGTTTTCTCTTGCCTTTGTTTTTTCTTTCCATATGAGGTGGGGAGACACACATATACTCACCCCACCCACCTTTCTTTCCTTTTCATTAACAGAATGATACAAAAAAGGAAATTTTCACCTACTTTGGAAAAATAAGAGGGAAAAGAATAAGTGGAGTCAAGCATTTTAAAACCTCTCCTTTATGTGAAGCTGGGCTGGCAGGACTCAGAAGCAATTAGGTGAGGATGGTCAGCTCCTGAGTTTACTTGTGAGAAGCCCTTGACTTTTCTTATTTGGATCTATTTGTTTAACCACTACCTTCACTGCTTTGAAAGCATCATCATTCCTCTAATCCAAGAGTTTGATTTACATTGTTTACAGAGAACGAACTGACAGAAAATGACAGAATTACTTTTTTTGTGTTGCTCCCATTTTGGGTAACAGTACTACCCTCCTACAACTGCAAAAGCAGTTGGCACAACTACAAGAATGCTACACTGCATTGTTTTCTTTTCTTTATCCAGAAAATCATGCTTTCTCCCCCTTGTGGTGCCCCTCCACCATAAAGCATACATTCTGCATGCATTCTGCATGCCTGATCACCTCAACTCCGGACATGGCCCTCCCATCATACAGGTCTACCATGATGCACATAAGATTTCGCTGTTGCTAAGAATAGACACAATCATTTGGAATAGATCCTGCTTTATTTCTGGCTACAGATTCTGAATGCTGTTAGACAATAAAACCTTTAGGTTGGATCTCAGATAACACCTGCCTGCTCTTTCCATCAGTTCATCAAGGGTGTCAGACTGCTCCCTGTGACAGCAGGCATGAAGAGCTGTACCAATTGCTTAGCTAGGGACAGCCACTGATGTGAACATGAATGAAGACAAGCAAACCCTAATGTCTCTGTGAACAAAGCAGGCAAGCCTTTGGGAAACTATGATACCTTTAATTAAAATGAATAAATAAAAATGAATAAACTTGGAAAGAGTGCAGAGGAGCAATAAGAATGATTTAGGTCTGGAAAAAGAAAGTCTTCTTCTAGTGAGCCATTGAACTAAATGTGTTTTGCTTCAAAGAGAAGATTATAATCTTTAAGCAACTAGACAAGAAGAAGGTATTTCAGAAGACTGTAAATTAGTGGGAAGACACACAACAGAATCCAATATCTGCAAATTTAATCTGGAGATAAAAAGCACGTTTTAAGTATAATTAGCTACCAGGATGAACTCTTAAAAGATGCAGTAAATTCTCTATCACTAAGAAACTATTTTAATTATTGTATGCTGAATTTACACTACAGCCCAGAAGTCTCAGTCAACACAGGCCTGAAAATCTTTATCAGGCTTCTATCACAAGCCACCCCCTCTCTCTGAAAATTGTTCTTGTTACTAATTCCAGACTAGATGCTTTCTTCCCAGGTAATCCAAGGTGGGAGAACCATGACAAATGGATAATTAGTGCATAAAACG